CCAGCTGCTCCGTGGGAGAAAGATGAGGCATTCTGCTCCTGTAAAGATTTACAGCCTCGGAAACCCTGTACAGGGTCGCTATGGGTCGGAACCGACTTGACGGCACTTAACAACAACAACAAATTATGCCAACTATCACTACCATATATCAATTGGCTCCATTCCACTAGAAAAGTCTAGGAGTCTGTGTAGAGCATGTTGTTATTGTTGTCTAGTACTGTCAAGTTGGCTCTGACTCCTAGTGACCCTGTACAGGGTTGCCGAGGAGCAGTTGGTGGGTTTGAAGTGCCGAACTTGTGGTTGGTGGTCCAGTGCTTATCCTACAGCTTCATACCAACATGTTGTTGTTGTTAAGTGCCTTCAAGACATTCCGAGGTGAGTTTGAGCTGCTCACCTTGTGGTTCAAACAGACCTTGCATTATCCCACAATGCCATACCCCATAGTTATTTTACCTTAAAGAGTTTAGGGAGCTGGGTAATTTATCCACTAACTCCCATGCAGCATTGGCTGAGGACTACTCCCAGGGCATCAATTCTCTGGCATTTTAGGCTTGCCCGAACTGAGGGTTGAAAGGGAATCCTCAGGCCTCTAGAGAATCATTCAGTGCTTGTAGAAGGAAGATTTCCCATGTATTGGAACTGACAGTGCAGTGGGTATGTGGGTGGGGCACCGACAACATCAGCTACAATTAAGTGTCCCTCTACAAGTGGATCTGATAGACTCTCAGAACAAAGATTTCCCTTTTGAAATAAGTTATTCACATGTGAAAAGTTGATTATCTTCTTTTCTTATATTGTGTTGCTTTCTAACGCTTAAAAGTTTATTTATACTTTGTATTCTTTAACAATTTTAAGGAAATATTTATCTCCCTGTTTCCCAATTTCTAGGTTCCTCTATAATTTTTAAGAGTTCCTGTTTGTTGTTGTTAGTTGCCATTGAGCCGGTACTGACTCATAGCGACCTTATGCACAGCAGAACGAAATACTGCCCGATCCTGGGCCAACCTCACTATTGTTGCCACACTTGAGCCCATTGATGCTGCCACTTTTCCAATCCATCTCGCTGCAGGTCTTCCTCTTTTTCTCTGACCCTCCACCATACCAAACATGATAGCCTTCTCCAGCAACTAGTCCCTCCTGACAATATGTCCGAAGTATGAGAGACGATGTTTGGCCATCCTGTCCTCCAAGGAAGCATTCTGGCTGCACTTCTTCCAACACAGATTTGTTGGTTCTTTTGGCAGCCCGTGGCACTTTCAATATTCTCCTCCAAAAGCATAAATTCTTCTACGGTCTTCCTTATTCACTGTGGTAGGCAGAATTCACTGCCTACCAGAGTTCCTGTAGTAGGCAGAATTCTAAGATGACCCCTATGACCCTTGTTCTTATATAACCTTTTCTACTTGGGTGTGGAGTCCTCATGTGGTACTGTGGGTTAATGCGTCAGACTGCAAAGCCATTTGAACTGTAAGGCTGGTGGTTCAAGCTCACCAGCTGCTCCTTGGAAACCCTTACAGAGTTGCTGTGGGTTGGAATTGACTCGATGGCACTTTACAACCACAACAACTTAAGTGTAGGCAGAACCTGTGAATATGATGAAATATCACTGCTATGTTTTTGTTTTTGTTTTTACGTTACATGGAAAAGGGACATGTCAAAGATAATTAAGATCCCAAATCAGGTGGCCTTAAGAGGAAGATTATCTCTCTGAGTGGTCCTAACCTTATCGAATGAGCCCTTTAAATCTGGGTCTGTTGTTACTAAGTGCCGTGGAGTTGTAACATTTTGGTTAGCGGTGGATAGCATTAACGATTTGTGCCACCCCGGGACTCCCTCATATATTTTTTTTTATCATTGCTTTTATTGGGGTATATGTTTTTAAAATTTCTGGTCCAGGTTAAATGGCTGCCCCAGGGAACTCCATCCATAAACAACCCAGAAATAAAATAGACACTCAGGCCTATAAATATTACACAGAGGTTGAAATCTTCAAGAACTTTTGGTTGCTTTGCTTTCCCTAAGAAAAGGCATTTAGCTTGATGGTCTTTGAAAATATGAGGAACTCATTGAACGTTTTCTCTTACCGCACTGGAGCCCCTGAGGAAGGAGAGCAGATTTCGACAGACCGGCAGCAGAATCAACAGGCAGTTGAAATTCAGGCAGGCTGCAGGGGCCCTGGCCAATGCCAGTGCAGACTGGAGGAAACATAATATGCAAAAGGGTGACTCCTGTGAGCAAAGAAAGCATCCCCAACCTCCCCAGAGTGCCCAGCACGAAGCCCACACATCAGAGACATCAAGTTATTGGGAAAGGAGAGTTCTTTAGGGACAAAAGTTTTCCATTAGGTCTTACTGGGAGTTTTTGTTTTGAAGTCAAAATGACTCTTTTTCCCAGTCACAATATTTTATTATGAAAAATTTTCAAACATAAAGAGGTTGTAAGAATTTTACAATGAATCCCCATTTACTCATCTCCCAGATTCACAATATTTGCTTCACCAATTTTCCAAGCTACATGAATCAGAGCATGGCTGAACCTCAGTCCACATTTCTGTCCATATTACCCGGTGGTGGTGGTGGTGGTGGTGGTGGTGGTGGTGATGATGTGCCATGGAGTCAGTTCCGACTCATAGAGACCCTACATAGGGTTTCCGAGGCTATAAATCTTCACAGGAGCAGAAAGCCTCATGTTTCTCCCGAAGAGTGGCTTGTTTTTGTCACTCTGCTGATTTTGCGGGAAGTAGCCAAACTCAGAATTCACTACACTACCAAGGCTCCTTTCCATATGTTGTTGTTAAGTGCCGTCAAGTCAGTTCCAACCCATAGCAACCCTGTATAGGATTTTTAAGTTGTGGCTGGTGAGCTTGAACCCCCTACCTTGTGATTCAAACTGACTTTACAGTCCAATGCGTTAACCCGCAGCACCACACTGGAAGTCCCTTTCCATGTGGCATAGAAAATTTTAAATATGTACTCAAAAACTTGCCCAAGGGAACAGTTTCCCTTCACCACCATCTTTCCCAAGCAGTTGTTCACTAACTACGCTTCTTTCATCATATTTCTATCTATTCATCCCTCTAAAAATAATCAAATCAATCCATTTTATTATTTTTGGATGTATTTCAAAGTAAGCTGCAGACATTAGTTTATGTTCCCCTAAATACTTAAGCGTATAAATCATTAACTAGAGGTAAATATTGTGACTGGATCTCTTAAAAATTTAACAAAAGTTTTCTTAGCACTTAGACTGACCTTAATAGTACTCAAGTTAGTGTGGTGTCATGCTTTGGCATACGAGTTATTGTCTTTGCAATGCTGAATAATCATTATTTTTTGAAATGCCATATTTTGCATATGGGGAACAAAAGGGAGCCATTTTTCTCAGAATCAACATGAATAAGTTAATAGCAATTGTAATAATATGCTATAATGATGTTGTAATTACTTATACATATAATCTATACCACATTATTATAACTTATATTTCATTAAATCATGGTTTCAGCAGGGGCAATAGCAATTTTGATTTTTTTCATTTGTGACAGCAGTTAAAGAAACTGAGAAGGCTAAGTACCCAAGGAAACTCAGGAGGCCGCTACTTTGCTGGCCTATTCAACAGACACAACCCTTGAGAAAGTTCCTCAAAAGTTCCATTTGTAGCATGAAACTGATTTTCTGACGATCAGTCCATACTATGTCACTAGGAATGGGTCTGTCAATATAAAAAGTATTGGTAGGAATTGAGCGATTTAGAGACTATGGAAAGTCCCACTTGTTCCACATGTGTCACCCTTGGATTGTTTTTTACAGGTTGGCTTTCCATTTCAGAGTCAGCTTTAGAGATCTCCTTTAATCAAAACAATGGCACCATGGCTCTTGGGAGGAAAGGGATGTCATTGGGACCCTTTGATCCACTTTCATTTGCTCCATACTGGATGGCATTAAGAGAGTCTTGCCAAGGAAAGTATAATGAAGAAAGTGAGGTTGATAGTGTTGACTATTTATTGGCCAGACTATTTCCTTAAAATGTGAAGGAAATATGAACAAGGGTGTCTGATGAGAAATATGAGCCAGACAGTCTTGCAGAAGATAGAAGTTATACTTACCCCAAGAAGTTTTCGAGTGTAAAAGAACTTATCTGGAACATCATATATCAGGTAGAACTGGACAAAGAGGTAGACATTTATTCCTAGCCATACCAGCTGCAGAAACAGAGAACTGAGTGAAGTTTTTACATTTCAACAGGTAAATTGTACACAAGACTACAGTCCAACTAGGGTTGGACAAAGGTGATTACAAAGCTGGGTGTAATCAGGGTTCATATACCACAGTGCCACACTTCTTTGTAATGAATTAACCTTCCAGCACTCCTTTCCCCCCATGATTATTTTACTCCTTAACTAGTATGCCCAGTTGTTTTTAGTATATTGCTGTTCCTCTCTTTCTCTTCTTTCTTTCTTAACTTTAGATAGTTAGATAATAACAGGTGTCTCTTAAACATTTAAAAAAGAAATATAGTGCTATTACTCTCCTCACACACTAGTAGGACATTGTGCTATGCTTTCACATTTGCCACTCACGGCTTTCCTCCCTACATCAGCTCATCCCAGCTGATGGGAGTCGCACCAACTAAAACGTCAAGTCTCATTCTGTTAGATAAGTTTTGCTTAACTTTTGGATGTGGGACTATCGAACATAAGTGTGGCGGGTGAGGGGCATAGGATTTGAAAACAAAAAGACCCTTGTAGGGAGTGATGCCTCTCTTCATTTCAAGTGATGACTCTTAAGTGGTTACACTTCCCAGTTCTCTACCCCCAGCTTTACCTGGATTTTTATAAACCTCATAAATAACTCAAGTTTAGACCTCAGAGGAAACAAAGTGCATTTTTGAAAAACAAAATTGAGAACTCAAATTATTTTTATACAATTTGTGAAATAAGGGGTATATATTTCTCATAAATATGTTAGTATTGTGCTTCTCATTTGGAAAATGGTAAAAAAAAAAAAAAAAGTTGGCCATTTTTAAGTAAAATAAACATTTAAAAAGTAGATAATTTGTCTCCCGTTGGTAATTAATAACCAATTCAGAATTAGAGGTCACTAGCATGACATTTTTCTCTTCTCTGTGACATGGCTAATTTAGTACTCCCAGGAACTCAAGCAATAAGCCAGGAGAAGTAAGTTCCCTAAGAACATTCTTCCCACTAAGAAATTTGGAAGTGGACTCAGTTTGCATACAGATATGTTCAAAAAGAATATCAATTTCAATATGATTTCTCAAATAAATATGACAAACAAAGCTTCTAACTTTAGCTCCCACCAAAATGAAACAAAAAGTCAGAGACTTCATAATTCATCACTCTCTGGTACTTACAATGACAAAGATGGAGAGTCCCTCATTCACAAACCAGTTCCCCATGGTGGCAGAGGTTCAAAGCGTTGTGTCTACTTTTCTTCTTTCTATACTGTGCTTCTTCTTCTGATGAGGAAATGAAAATAGCAGCCTCAAGACAATCTGTTTCCTTTTCTATCATCAGAAATTAGCTAATCATTGGTCAACCAAGAAGCTTGTTTCCATAACAAATTTATAACTTGAACTCCCCCAAACTACAGAAACAGGGTCTGCCATCACCCAATCACAACTATGCAGAGTGGAAAATGAAACTGATTTCTACAACTGAAAGACATATGGCAGTAAAATATATGGGATGTATTTTACATAGTGATAAATAGCACTTTTAAAAAAATCATCCAACTAGCCATGGCTGGGTGCTGGGTAAAACTGGAGAAAAAGGTGTGCCCTTGTTTGACAGACTGGAACAATATCTACAATTTGGTTGGAAAAACAGTAATAATGGTGATAGTTGATATTTATAAACTGCTTACTATGTGCCATACAATGTTCTAAACAATAACTATAGATATACAAGGGGGTTTTAAAAAATTCAAGGAAATTTTTTATTATCTTTAATTATATTTTTTCACATACTTTTTGAGGCCCTCACATCAAACATATGTATATATACATGTACCTATGAGTTGACACATAAATATGCCTATATATTTCATATACTTACATTATTGTAATTGCATTATGTTACTGTATTATTATTATTGTAATTATAGAATCTACCTTATAGGTGTTGAGTTTAAGGATCAAGTGATTTGATATATGAATATACATATGCATATGTAGGTTCTACTATTTTAATTTGAGTCCTGCTGTAGCACCATAGTATAAGCACTCGACCTCAAGGTCACTTTGAACTTCAAAGCCACCAGTTCAAACTCACCAGGCGCTCCTCAGAAACCCTATACAGGGTCAATATGAGTCAGAACGGACTCAACGGCACTTAACAACAACAGCAACATTATTGTAATTACATTTACAGATGAGGAAACTGAGGCCCAGAACAGTTAAGTTACTTGGCCAAGATCACAGTTAAGAACTACTAAAGTTGGAATTTAAAACTTTGCTCCAAAGTCCATGTTTTTATTCACTCTCTTTCTTTCTCTCTCTCTCTCTCTTTCATACACACAAAATCAATCAATCAATCAAAAGCCTGACCATGCCAACCTCACCCTAAATCACTTCATGTACAACTACAGAAAATGAAAATATAACAAGTATATCAAAATGTTTAAATATCTCCAAGCAGACATGACAACTTCTGGACTATGGATGTAAACAAAGTCATTAGCTATGGTAGATGCCAGAAGCTAGCTGTAGCACTTTCTTTCCTGGGGGGCTACTCAGTCTTCAGGACATGAAAGAAACAGGAGTGTAAAGTGGTATCTCCAATATTTGATTATTTCTACTCCTCACTTCACTGCTAGTCATAAAATTTTCAGTGTCTGTTCATTCAGAAGTGGTCTGTCTCTCCTTCTTTTTAGTCTGTCTTAATCTGGAAACTCTATCTGACCACCATGGGTTACCCAGCATGGGTAACTTTCTCCATGGGAGAAAGATGAGGCTTTCTACTTCTGTAAAGATTCACAGTCGTGGAAGTGACTCGATGGTACTTAACAACAGCTTCTTATTTACTATCTCATGTTCTGAAATCTCACTTTTAAGACAGTAGTAAAAAAAAATCTACCTTCTGGCTAGTTTGTGCATTATCGATGTACATCTGGCATTAACGAACACTGGAATACTAGGCGAGAGTACTATAGTTAATGTCATGTGTTAATTTCACTGGCCTATGACAATGATTCTCAGCTACGTAATCATGTAATTTGATATTTAGTAAAATGTAGTCATCCCTCCATTTGCTGATCGAAGGTGGTCATCCTCCATTTTCGCATAACATTGATTTGGGTATAATTATCTGGTCTTTGGAATTTAACTATGTTGATAAGTGAAGAGTGGGTGTAGTCACACAAGAGTGGTTATACAGCAGATATAGTTAATAAGAAGGTGAAAAAAGAAATCAGAAGAACAAAAGGTAACAAAATAGAAGATAAAGAAAAGGATGAAGTCTTCTAGTTACTGTTGTGAGCCCCCCAAATTATGACAATTAACAAAGAAATATTGTTTTCACCTTTTAATATATAAGGAAAGGCACTAAACTCTGACATTCATTGCTGTTGAAATATGTGTAGCCCACATAAAGGATTGTCAACTTTATTGTTCCATTGCATACAGATGATTTCAAAGACAAAATATCATTGTTAGACAATCAAAAAAACATGTGATAGTTGTTTGCCTCTTTACTCCTAAAAGAATTCTTCACCCTTTCCTTGTTCTGCTCTACTTCTGAGAGAATTATATTTGCCAAGGTTCTTGGCCTTCAGGGATTCTGGTGTTTAATATATACAAATTGGAGGTTGCGAAGCAAGAGAGAGCCAGAGTAGTTCTTTCCTAGTTTTCTGTTTCAAGTGGTATCTTGGAAGGGGTGTATTTCCACTGATGTTCCAGCTCTTACCAATCATCCCCTTATTATCACAATAGTTCTAACTCCTACCAGATGACACTAGATTCTGGGGTTGAGTTACACCACCTCCTACCAGTTTCCCTCCCACCATGAGAGTCGTACTGCTTCCTGTAGTTATTCATCTTTGTGTTGCCTCATCACCCTCTGGTTGAATTCTCCACTTTTCCATCACCCGTGTAACAGATTCCTGCTATGAAATTTCCTGTGTTGAAATAGTGTGGTTTTTGTTTGCCTTACTGGACCTTGACTGATACAAAAAATAATTCAGGTCAGTACTAACATTCCCATGTCATTTATGAAGGACTGCATTTATGCTTAATGAGGAATTTTTGTTGTTGTTAAGTGTCTTTGAGTCAGTTCCAACTCATAGTGACCCTGTATAGGATTTCTAAGGAGTGGCTGGTGAGTTTGAACTGCCAACCTTTCAGTTCAAACAGCTCTGTGGTCAAGTGTTTATCCTATAGCACCACACCAGGAATCCTAATGAGGAAGGTTGTTGTTGTTAAGTGCCATCGAGTTGGTTGCAACCCATAGTGACCCTGTATAGGGTTTCCAAGGAGCAGCTGGTGAGCTTGAACCACCGACCTTGCGGTTCAAACAGACTTTGAAGTTCAGCGCATTAACCCACAGCACCAAATCAAGACTCCTCAAAAGAAAATTTACTCTGTCCATCTCTTCCTCTCTCAAGCTCCTCCACAGGGACTTCTACTTCATCAAGTTCTTTGAAAATAGCCAAGTCTTCTCTGTACCTACTCCCCACCCCCTTTTTCTCCCTATGCCTAAATGGTTCATCTTTCCTTGTCCTACTAAATATTTCAATCTATCCCACATTTTTCCATCCACCTCCTGATGCCTATGCTGTGCTGGTAAGAGGGTTGTAAATATTCATGTACTACATAATAATCTTCCCTCTTGCACATAAACTTATTTATCTGAATATTTCCAGTTCCCTTCTTTGTCCTTCACTATTTGAGAAGAAAAATTTTAAAAGGAAGAAAATGTTCCTTGCATCATCTACCGTTGCCTCCTATTGCTTTTTTTGTCTGTTTAAAAGTAATCATAGAGCCCTGAGTAGAGATTTCTTGAGAGCCTTATGACCCACAATCAGTTTCACAGCTGGAGAAAAGCATATTGCTTGTGATGCAGAGTAAAATCTTCTTGTTTTTTTAATTCAAAGTAACTTTAATAAAAAGTTTTGCTCAAGAAAAAATGTAATATGCATTAATCGGGGAGAGAAAGGCAGAGGGTTTGACAATGGAGGAACTGGTATTGGTTGGATATAAAGAATCAGGAAAATTGAACCTCTATGCATTAGCTAACAGCTTTTTTTCCCCAAGCCACTATGGTTCCTATTGTCTTCTAAGTTGTTTGTGTCAAAATAGAGTGTGGTGAGCATAAGGAAATGCTACTTACTGCTCCAGTAGGCAGTGATGATTAACAATCACCCTCAGGCTTTTGTTAGAAATTCTCGACACTTCTGGCTGAGACATAAGAAAACTAAAAATGGGCACATGTTTCTAGGCAATTCCTTGACTTTCTACCGTGAATAAGATTGTTTATATAATTGTTGTTGTTGTTCTTAAGTACTGTTGAGTCGAATCTGACCCACAGCGATCTTGTATAGGGTTTCCAAGGAGATGAGCTTGAACCACCGACCTTGCAGTTCAAACGATTTTGCAGTCTGACACATTAGCTCACAGCGCCACACCAGGACTCTGTTTATATATATATATACATCAAATTAAAAACTAAGCTCCTAATTTGTTCCATGAAGACTGAAATTGCTAAAGAAAGAGATGTTTCCATATCAAGATTCCCAATGAATTTTGTTCCTGGTGATGATGAGAAATGGATGTCTGTCCCTTTTTTCTTTGCTGTGCATCTGTTCTTTGCAGTTGAATGATAATGGAGTCACCAAAGGGCCTCTACAGTTCTGTGGTGACAGCTGAGGCCAGGATGACTTTTCAGATCTGTTCTAAGTGACCTAGGCCAAAACATCTTTCTTCACTGAGACCATCCCTCTAGGTGCAGTAAGTCCTTCGCTTCAGAGATTGGATCTAGTGAGCACATCGGAGAAGCCAATCCAGTTCTTGAGTTGAATTTCTACCACTTATATGGTGTGATGCTGTAGGATCAGCATTGAACTGTGAACCGCAAGGTCAGCAGTTCAAAACCACAAGCTGCTTCTCAGAAACCCTATACAGGGTCATTATGAGTTGGAATCAACTCAAGGACACTCAAAAACAACAGCATATCTAGGAAGGACCATGGTGGCTGAATATGATAAGCACTGGACTTTAACCACAAGGTCTGTATTTCGAGCCCACCTGCAGCTCTTTTGGAGAAAGATGAAGTTTAATTATCCTGAGAAGATTCAAAGTCTAAGAAACCCTATACAGGGTTGCTATGAGTCACAACTGATTCAACGACTCTCAACAACAACAACAACAACAATATCTAGTAAAGTACTTACTAAAGCATGGTA